GTAATCTGTGGAAAGTAAAATTTCTTTTGTATTTATTTCTAGTTTATATTGCCCCGAAAAATCCTGTAAAATAAGTTATTTATTCTATACAGATTAAATGAATTTAAAACGGATCATACAATTTAATATATGTCTGTTTGAACTGCATTTGAAATAGTGGACCAATATAAAACTTGGACAAAAATAAATCCATACCTGGGTATAGACATTGTATAAAATATCGTTCAACTATCTGTGTCGCAACAATGTTACAATGTTGTTTGCGTAAAGGAAGCGATAATAGTTCAGGAAATGAAGCTCGAAAAAAGTTAAAACTTCGCAATTTTTTCGTCCTGCATGGATTAAGTTAAAATTTTAACAGAAGGTAGGTGATAGCCCAAGAATAAAAATCTATATCGAACCGAAGTGCGCTGAAGGGTTTTAAAGGTGAAAACTACCCCTAATTGTCAAAAATTATAAAATAATATATTAAACCTGAATATGGGTAAGATTTGGTTTGAATTAGTTAAATAATGATTATTTTATACTTTTGAATAGAGTTCCATCATATTTCAACCCTTAAAAAGCAACTCTTGTTAGAGATTAATGTAAAAAAATTATTAATTCTAAAAAAATGATTTCGCCTTGGATCGATTTGGATAAAAATTTGGATTTAAGCTCAATTCACCCACTGCTTTATAGTTTATGTCATGTCGACGAACCCTGATTGTTCTTATTGGTGAAAACTACCCCTAATTGTCAAAAATTATAAAATACCATATTAAACATGAATATGGGTAAAATTTGGTTTGAATTAATTAAATAATGATAGTTTCGTGGTTTTGAATAAAGTTTTATCATATTTCAACCCTTAAAAAGCGACCCTTGGTAGAGATTAATGTAAAAAAAAGTAGTAATGTGAAGAAAATGATTTCGCCTTGGAACGATTTGCATAAAAATTTGGAATTAAGCTCAACTCACCCTCTGCTTTATAGTTTATGTCATGCCGATGAACCCTGATTATTCTTAGGGGTGAAAACTACACCTAATTTTCAAAAATTGTAAAATAACATTACAAATCTTAAGATGAGTGAAATTTGGTCTGGATTAGTTAAATAGTGATTTTTTTATACTTTAAAATACAATTTCATACATTTTCAACCCTTAGAACTCAATTGTTATGAGTGCTATAGGTGAAAACAATTTTTTGCCAAAATTTTGCAACTTTTCAACTTTTGAAAATCACCCTTTACAACATTGCAGTTTTTATAAACTAATTTAATAGATATAAATTGAAAAAAGTATAATAAAATACAAAAAAATTTATCAACATAAAACAATTATAATATTAATTTTATTCGTCATCAATTACATCTTCATCGTAATCTATGTCATCCTCATCTTCTTCAATTATTGGTGGACTATTATTGCACCCTTCATCTGAGCACCCAGAACAAGTAGAGTTACAGTATAAACCAACTTTTCTGCACCGACATGAAACGCCGCATCCTTTTTTGCATTGGCAAAAAATAATTTTCAAAAGTTCATCAGGTGCAGGTTGTTTGTTCATGCATACGGGTAATAACAAACCATCTTTGGAATACCATCCCCAATCTGTTGCTCTGATATTTTCATTGCCAAGCCATAGACATATGAGCAGATGTTTTATTCTATTGTATGGGATTTCAAAATAAGAACGCTTAAAATTTCGAATGTGTAACGCCCCACTACCTAATATACCGGTTTTGTAGATTATTATGCTCCGAAATGTACTGTACTATACTAATGGAATTTTCCGGAAAAAAAATTAATTGGTTTTTTTAACGTATTTTCTTCATTTTTAACGATAGAGTGTTTCTTCAAAAACAATTTTGTAAAGGTTTTTAAGAGCTACAAGGATCTGTGAATTAAATCTTTTTGGAACCCTTGATTTTTAAATGGAGTGAGTTTAAAGGGCTCGAAAAAGATGGTGCTTCATCGTAAATCGATGCTTTAAACGGCTATATCTCGCCAAATATTTATTTTACAACAAATGTAAATAGGAAAATTTTAGTCATTAAAAAAGCTACAATTTAGTATATTTTATTTTTTCATATATTCAGTATTTTCGGGGATATTTAAATAAAGAAGGGTAAAAAATATGAAATTGTAAATCGTTTCTCGCTTTATGCTGTACTTTTTCTAAAACTAAGCATTTTAAATGGGTCAAATTTCGTGGACGTATTAACAATACATGTACAAAGAGAATGGAAGAAGGGTGAAGATAGATTTTAATTATGAGGGTGGTTAGGGTGTTGTTTTCATCGATTTTTTCGTAAAAAAATGAGGTATTGACCTTATTTTGATCATAACTCACTAGACTAGAGTCTTTTTTTATGATAGGTCTATTTATGCTCTTTAAAAAAGGTTTTGTGAGTTTTCTTCCAAAAATGCATCATTTTCCCGATATTTCACTCTGAATCATTCAAATTTGGCATTTGAAGAAAACCGCTGAACATTGATAGGCCGTATTTCGGTTCCTGTTATATCGCAAAAACATTTCAAAAAATGAATTGTATTTGTCTTTTTAAAAGCTACAAATTTGTTTTCTACAATTTTTTTGATAAAATGCACCATTTTTGAGTTATTCGCGAAACATCGATTAAAGACGTCGATTTTTTCGTCTAAAAGTTGTTACTTTCAATCGCGAATAACTTGAAAAATATCAGTTTTACAAAAAAAATGTATAGAACATTTTTTGTTTATGTGCGGCGACATTGCGCTTAGTTTAAAACTGAACGCGTAACCAACGTCCAGCGGTTGGGTTAGTAGAGAACAACAAAAATAATATTATGGCAAGCAGTTGTAAGAAGGTAAAGACATACCGCTTTCATTCGGAATGGGAAGAACAATACTTTTTTACAGAAGTTAAAGATAAAAATATGGGTAATACTTCGGTCTCTTTTGCTAAAAAAGGTAATATTGAGAGACATCATAAAACTGTACATTCTAATTTTTAAAAGTCATTCCCACTACATTCTGCTTCCAGAAAGGAGAAACTGAAACAGTTAAAAAAAACAGTTAATTGAACAACAATCAATATTTTTAAGAACAGTCGACAAAAATAAGGCTGCAACTGAAGCATCGTACCGTCTGTCCCAGATAATTGCACAAAAAAAGAAACCTTATGAAGACGGGGAAATGATAAAACAGACGTTTTTAGAAACTGCTGATTCGTTATTTGCATTATCCATCAGCAAGCGTTATGTGGAAATTTCCTGAAACTAAACAACGTTATGAAACTGGTGGTAAAAATTGTGCGCAAGATTAGAGCTCAAGCGTTACAAAGAAGATTACTCTGAACCTTGGCCGATGAAGTTGACTGTCAATACGGGGACCTACTTCTTCACTCTGAAGTCCGATGGTTAAGTAGAGGACGGATGCTGAAACGATTTAATGATGTCCTATCTGGCATAGTTGAATTTTTCAAAAAACGCGATGAACCGACTCCGGAACTACAAAATTCAATCTGGCTTAGAGATTTTGGTTTAAAATCGTTTTAAGGATTTTAATGAAATGACTTTAGTAGCGCAGTTTGTTGTTTCACTCTTTATGGAAATTGATATCCAGCAGTTTGCAGCTTGTGTTATGCAGAACTTTGGCGAAGACATCGCTGCAACAGAAATGGAAGTCATTGAGTTTCAAAATGATTTAGCCCTAAAATCGTTAGTCTCAAGTACTGAATGTATCTAGCCTATTGTAAGTAAAGACAAATATTCAGTTCTATGCCGTGTTGCCTTGAAAGTGAAAGCATTATTCAGTTCAACCTTTTTCCAATATGAAGTTTATTAAGAACAAATATCGCAATCTACTTACAGATAAACATTTGGATAATTGTATTCGAATGGCTGCATCAAATTATACTGCAAACATTAAAAAAAATATCGATGAGTCTGGGTGTCAGCCTTCTCATTGAACGTGCTTTTTTATTTTTCAATTTTTATGTTTATGATAGTGCGTTACTTTTTTGTTGTTATTATTAACTATTTTTAAATCATACGTGACATGCCGTTGTGGCTGGATAAAAGTTTGTGTTTATTTTTCAAATACCTTCGTTTGATAGATAGGAATGTAGCTATGAACAAGTAAGTACTAGTAATATTAGTTATTTTGTTATTAGTTTATTATTAGTACCTATGTATTGTGTATTACCAGTTAAACAGTAAAATAAATACATATAATGATAGATTAACTGTGGATTATTTCATTTACGTTGCGTTACGTGGCTTCCGTGTGGGTAGCTCGCTATTTATTTCAAAATTAATAAAGTAGCTCAACACATTGAAGAGGTTGGCGACCACTGCCTTAAAAGCTTTTAAGCGATCCCCGGCTCTCCTCAACTATCGTCCAATTTCTTGCTCTGCCACCTTCTTATCATTATAATATCACTAAATAAGAACAGGCAACCACACTATAAGCACCAACACCAAAAATAAGTAAAAAAAACTAAATGAAACTGTCTTGCAATGAATTATCACATTAAAACTGTACTCGAGGTGGAAAATTGCTAACCAAATAAATTAGGGTTAGATTAACATAACCTAACATAATAAATATGCTTTAGCTCTTCTTTCTCATGGTACTTACTTAGGATGTAATAAAAGGTTTAAAAATGGCTTTATCAATGTTTTCCAAGAGATATGGGTGCTATTGATTAAAGAAGACTTCTGAAACAGGAAAGGATGGTTTTCTTTCTTTTGAAAGGATGTCCAAAAATTATTGGGCTTTCAAAAATCAACTACAATCAATTGCATAATCTCATTATTCTGTCAGAATATTTGGCGACCTAGCACATGAAGAAACGTGTTGTAACTACCACACTGCACAACGGCCTTAAAACTGACAAAAAACCATGTGTCTGAAGCAGGCTATTGATCAGATGACTACTCGGTATAACAATTAACTTATTTTTAACTATTATTTATCAGTTTATGTATTGAAACAGATTGAAAAAGAAGAATATTTTGAATCATCAAAAAAATGTCACTTTGAAGTTTCTTGTTATATCAGGCAGCTCGCTTCAAAACGAGAAAAATGACGAAACTGACACATTGACATCAATTTCTTAAAATGTTTGCAAATTCCTACCAAAGCGGCTTCATTTCAATATTCTATAGCGTAGGAAGTAATCCACTTGCATTATGGGACAAGCAGGTAAAATACATACACTTATCGACTTATAAGATATTTCTTTTCTATCTATAGCTTTATATCATTAATATTCATCATGTGAAAAGGTTAACGGAATAAAATACGTATTCTTCGTTTGTATCTATTTAAGAAAAATGCGATAAGGGATTTTGGGTAAACGGAGAACAGGTTAGTATTGGCCTAAATGTAAAACGTAAATAGTAATAGAGGAAAGGATGCAAATATGGGCTACCCATTTTGTATTTCTTTGTAAAAAAAGAATAAAAATTCTATTTCAATTCCAAAGGTACGTAAGAATACCTATATTTAGTTACTTATAACCTGCCCAAAGTTCAAATTGATTAAAAAATATATAACTGTTTTAAACGTACAAATAATGAAAAATTATACTTTTGCGTCGTTTGAATAATGATCCTAAATATGGGCTACCCCGAAAAATATGTCTTACATTTGTGTGAAATGAGATAAATGCGTGAAAAATATATTTTATTATATAAAATACAAACAATATATCAAATAACTCATAGACAATGACGTGTGTGTTTCTTTTTTTACTGGGAGAAAATCTATTTGCAAAAGTCACACACATATTCTTCTTTTTCGGCCCCAGGGCACTCGTTATGTGCCCACAAATGGCACATGAAGCACTTGACTCATATTTCACCAAGATTATCCTCTGAAAAAAGTGCTTCGCAAAACATACACGTTACGTCACCTGCGTTTTGTGTAGGCTGTGTAGAAGGAAACTCATTGTAATCGCACTCATCATCTGCAGGCACATATTCCTCTTCATCATTGCTACTAGAACCCGATTTCTTTTTTTTGGTTCTTTGTGACTTTGATAACCTGCTTACGTTTTCCTTTTTTTATTTCTTTTTCTTTTCTTTTTTCTTTGCCTTTTTCTACTTCGTTTTGCTTCTCTTTGTCTTTGTTGAGAGATTGGATCAGTTCATTTTTGTAAGGTGAAGAGGTTATCACTGAACACTTACTTGGCTTACGCCCACGATTGGAGGTTTTTTTTCTTCAATAATGGCACAGGAGAAATATCATATGGTGTTGTCAGAGATGTTCTTGAAGACCCAGATGTGAAAGGAATTGATGGAATAGGCTTATTCTCAAATAATTTTCTTTTTACACCAAGCTCGGCACCAAATACGGCAGTGTTAATAGTACATAATACTATTTAATTTATTTATAAATTTATTTATATTATAAGAAATAGGGTAACACAAATGGATCCCTCGAAGGGATCATCATTTATTCTATCGATCTACATGTGATAAAACATTTTTAATAATCTTTTTTATTATACGTGCAAAATCTCAACATTTTATTTAATTGCTTAGGTAAAGAACGGACATATCAGACGAATTATGGACGATGATGTGAAGTCGTTAGTTTTGGAAATATCTGGAACAAACGTAGCGACCACTTATATAACATGCCCCATAAAACCACGAGCTTCACTTGGAATCAGATTACCTTTTCTTATTATGATTATAAAGAATATGAAAAAGTACTTTACATTTGAAATTCAAATATTAGGTAAGAAAGTATATCATTATAAGGGGTTTGCAATCCAGAAAAATCGAATTATATCATATTGTAATTTTTATTTTAATTAATTTATAGTTTTGTTACACTAACACTAAAAACACAATTAATTTATAATATTTATTTAGTTCACGCCAAAACCACCCTTTCATTACCTACAATACCGCTGCGACCTTTTACCCATATCGCAATTATTTTTTTATTTTGTTGGTTTACTTGGTATAAGGTTTGTATTTCACAAATTAATTCTTGATTAAAAATATTTATTGAAGATCCTTCAAGTGCTTGCAAAACGAACTTTGAATCTAACATAATACAAACCGTTTGAACTAGATTTAGTGTTCACCATAGTAGGCTTTTTTTATCGAGATAGACTCACTCAGCACTGTAAATAGAGAGTATATCTGCTAGTCTAAATTTTTCGACATGGTTAAAATCTGGACAAAAGTTGGACATCTGTAAATATTTTAGTAACATTTTTTCCAAAACCATTCAATGTGGTTAAGAGTATTAGGTTATTTAAATTAGCGTTTTCTGTATAATCAGGATTATAATGGTTGGCCGAAATGTGATACTTTGATAACCATATTCATATATTGGATATTTGGGACTATTGAATATAAAAATGTCATATTGATTGGTATTATTAAAGCCATCTGACAAGGGAGGGGAGTTTTTTATTCTCCAATAAAGTATTGTAAGGTTAAAAGTATTAATAAAAGCTATTTTTTGGAATACATAGTTATTTTGGAACTTTTTTTGTTTGGAATAAACCACAATTCTACTTTTAAATTAATTTTATTTGACATTTCAATTTTGGAATCTATTGTATATTTTAAACTTTTATTTTAGATGATAAAGACATGCGTAGAAGATTTAGAATATCAAATTTTCAATCGTCCACCAAAGTGAGACCGTTTTGTACAACGATGCCAATGGGACTCAGTTCTGGCTGGAATCAAGTTCAATTTAATTTAGCTGATTTTACGAAACGAGCGTATGGTAAGCATTTAAATCAATGGTGCCACCTTCCCAGGTTGCGCAAGTCTAATATCAGTGGAGAGAGCAACTGTCACGCGACACATTTTCGAATACAGCCAAAAAAGGCAAATCAGTATTCGTCAAATCGATATTGAAAAAAAATTAACAACAAGAACTTGTATAAGTACTAAAATGTGTAGTCAATGACTTTCCTAGAGCACCTCCGACAAATAAAAGCAAACGCCAAATACAAAATTTTTTTTATTTTTTTTTTTTATTGAAATTAACGTGCCTCGACATCTATGGTCATTGACGCGGGTACAAAAACGTCTGTAGTATTACATTATACATATAAGATTATTACATAACATAAGGTAAATATCTTCTTCTTCTTCTTGTGTCGTCTTCTAACGAAGGTTGGCGATCACTTCTTTAAACGCTTCTCAATCTTTGCAACGTAAAATATCTGTTCAACACTGAGGTTAGTCCAATCTCTGATATTCCTTAGCCAAGATTTCTTCTTTTTTCCCAAGCCTTTTCTTCCCTCTACTCTACCTTGCATGATGACTTGTAGCAGAGAGTATTTATCGTTTCGGAGTATGTGGCCCAGATACGATGTTTTCCTTATTTTAATTGTGTTCATAAGGTTTCTGCCATGTCCAACTTGTCTTAACACTTCCTCATTTGAGACTTTTGCAGTCCAAGGAATCTTCAAAATACGCCTATATAGCCAAAGATAAATATAGTAAGTTACATTAGATTTGGAAAGATATAGTGTTGCAAACTTTGTTTTTTTTTTTTTGAACGAACAATGTTACGAGCGAACAATATTTTTTATATTCGATAATATAATCTACCGAAGAACGAAGAGAAAATACCAACAAAATACCACGAAAGTGAAATAATTCCTATCCATAAAAAGGGAGACAAAACCAAGTGCTCTAACTATAGAGGCATCTCCCTACTTAATACGGCGTACAAAATCTTATCGAACATCCTATTAAGTAGACTAACACCTTTTGTAGAAAATTTCATAGGGGAATACCAAGCCGGATTCAGAAAAAATAGATCGACCATAGATCAGATTTTTACTCTCAGACAGCTGCTTGAAAAAGGATGGGAATTCAATAGAACCATTCATAATCTCTTCATAGATTTCCGACAAGCATACGACAGCATTAAAAGGGATCAGATGTGGAATGCAATGGCAGAACTTTCAGTTCCAAAAAAACTTATCCAGCTCGTTAAAGTTTGTGTAAATGGCTGTAGATCTAGAGTGCGGATAGGTAACAAGCTCTTAGAGTCGTTTGAAATAAACAGTGGACTGAAACAAGGAGACACGCTGCCACCTCTTCTTTTTAATATAATCCTGGAAAAAGTAGTAAGAACCGCACAAATTAGAACAGAACTACTGACAGTAAATCTACCAAAATTACAACTAGCATACGAAGATGACATTGACATTGTAGGAAATACCGTCACCAATGTAAAAGAAACCTTCAATAAATTAGAGAGAGGCAAAAAATACCGGTCTAAGGGTCAGTAAAGAGAAAACCAAACATATGTGCATTAACAGACAAAAGAGACGAGATAGAATAGGACAAAATGTAACAATAGACCCCTATAACTTTGAAAGAGTGGAGAGTTTTACATATCTCGGAGCGACTATCACCACAGATAACGATATCACGGAAGAGATAAAAGGTAGAATTCAGGCAGCAAACAGATGTATGTATAGCCTCCACAACACTATTAAATCCCGAGGTCAAACAAATGTATAGTGCTAGCGACGTAGTCCAAGAGATTAAATCCCAACGTCTAAGATGGGCCGGTCATGTTCATAGGCTCCCTAATAACCGCCTTACCAAGTTAATCTGGGAAGAAGTCCCGACAGGGAAAAGGCCCTTAGGACGTCCACGAATGCGATGGAGAGATAATATATGGTCAGATTTGAGAACAATGGGGCTACCCACTGACTTAAACATCATGGACGACCGTTCGAGATGGAAGCAGGTTGTGCAGTCAGCCAAGACCCACCCCGGGTTGTAGTGCTACCAGAAGAAGATAATATAATCTGCAATCTTTTAAAAAGTCAATTAGAGCACTGTACACATTTGGCGAACTAAGTATCTGTTTCAGGTTACCGACTATATTATGCACTAGTCTATATAGTCTATAATAACTGCACTCAAAATCGTTCTACTGTAAGGCGCTGACAATCACAATGTTCACAAGCAGGTGGGTTTTCGGAAGTCATCAGGTATCCGTGAGTGATGTGAGTGTGTTCTATTTGGAGTCTTCGAATGATGAGTTTGTTCCTCCTAGTCATTGTAGGTGTCTTAAATGAGTATACAGTGGGATTATGTGCAGTTTTGTGTTTTGTCCATTCCAATGATTTTGCCATCTTTTGCAAGTGTTTTGTTTTATGGTTGCTGCTAGATCTTGATGAAGTTGAATTATTCTAGGCCTAGGTCAGAGCAACTTGCTTTTCTTGCTGCTATGTCTGCAGACTCATTTCCACGTATTCCCACATAAGATGGGGTCCAAAAAATGATTATTGATATTCCTCTGCTGTGGTTTTGATGACAGATGTGTTGAATTTTTTGGACTATCGGATTTAACGAGTATATGTTGGCAATGAACTGAATTGAAGATAGAGAATCAGTGCATATAGCTAGAGATTTTGTATTAGGAGAAGTCATTTCAAGAGCTTTAAGGATACCATATAATTCTGCAGTGTTAATACTACAAGTGGTTGGTAGTCGATGTAGAGCTAAGGTTATGTTTTCAGTACAGACCGCACGGCCAGTATTTTTTTCAGTAGTCGTCTGTATACCCACATCTCAAAGGCTGTCAAGCGTTTAAGGATAGCCTTAGTTAGAGTCCACGCTTCCACTCCATACAGCAGGACAGGAAAGATGTAGCAAGATGTCATTCGAACTCTAAGCTCAATGCTAAGATCGTGACTGCAAACTACGTTTCTCATTTTTACAAAGGCAGCTCGGGCTTGTTCTATTCGGCTTTTAATTTTTGCGGTTGGATCCCAGCTCTCATTGATATTACTGCCGAGATATAAGAGTTTCTCTACTCTGTCCAGTGTGGCATCTACGACTTTTATACCGTCATCCTGTATATAATTTTTTTTGCTAACTATCATATATTTAGTTTTCTTAACGTTTTCCATACTGATCACAAGTCTGTCTTATTTTGTTCATTAGATTTTGAAGGTCTTCTCCGCAATTAGCAAGCACTAAGGTATCGTCGGCATATCTAATATTGTTGGCGGTTACTCCATTCACAATAATACCTTCGGTTGTCTCCATTAAGGCTTCCTTAAATATTTCCTCCGAATATAAGTTAAAAAGTAAAGGCGACAATATACAATCTTGCCTCACTCCTCTTTTTATATTTATTTCATCCGACAGTTCTTGTTCAACCTTTATTCTTGCCACTTGATGCCAGTATAGATTTGTAATTATTCGTAGATCTTTATCGTCCAATCCAGCTCTTTCCAATATTTCTAGCATTTTATTGTCGGATTTTGTCAAAAGCCTTTTCAAAATCGATTGCACAAATGTACAGATTTTGATTTATATCTCTGCATCTCTGTACCAGCACCTGTATACTAAACAAGGTTTCTCTTGTACCCAAGCCACTCCTAAACCCAAATTGAGTATTGCTAATTCTGTCCTCTAACAGCGTGTAAGTTCTGCTGTGTATTACTCACAGGAAGATCTTCAAAACGTGACTCATCAGACTTATTGTCCGATAATCACCGCATGTCTTTGGACGATGTTTCTTAGGTATTGTGACAAATGTCGACTTTAACCAATCAGTTGGTAATATCCCAGTGTCATAAATTCTGTTAAAGAGATTACAGAGAGCTTAAATCCATTTTCTCCATCGGGAGAACTTACTTCATCGGGGCCAACTGATTTCCATTTTTTGCCGTTTGTATTGAACGTGTAACCTCACTTTCTGTTATAGATGGACCTGATAGAGCAATCGGTGTATAGTGTTCTACTCTCTCATTTTCAATTAATTCAGAAATGTAGTTTTCCCATTCTTTTAACTGTTCATTGATGTCTAATATTCTGTGTCAGTTTCTGTCTTCTAAACTTTGGGATACTTGTTTCCGTTTGTTTCCAGCGACCTCTTCTAATTTCTTGTGCAGATGAAATGTATCGTGTTTCTTTTCATATTGTTCAATTTCATTACATTCTTTACTGTGAAATTGTGTGGATTTTGGATTACTGATTATTGCGTGAATCCTCTTGTATTCATTTTTATCCTTATTTCTGAATTCTTTTCTTTGATCCATAAGTCTCAGTATTTCTTCTGTCCTTGTTTTTTTCGTGCTTTACTTACTACTACTATTCTTAGTACTTTATACGTTAATTAAAAATTGTTTCGTACTTACAGTTGTGTTGGCTAAAACCTGTTCTACTACTAGGAAAGACCAGGGAAGTAAGCAAAAAAAGTACCTTGTTTGTGACACTCGCCCGGCCAGGCAACCGACAGTTGTTTTGAGTAGTATGGACCTCTATACCAAGAGTTTCCTGCAGTCGATTTTTTGAATTTCATTAATTATTAACAAATTAAGGTCAAAAAATATGGTAAATTTTCGCTTTTTTCGTCTATCAGCAAAAAGTAAAGCGTTTGAAATAAATTTAGGAGAGAAGAAACTTATAAGTATATATATATATATATATATATATATATATATATATAAAAACCTTCAAATGGCGTTTTCTAAACGTTCCTATTCTTATTTAGAAATAAGTTGCTTAGAAAGTTTCGGTTTTTTATAAATGTTTATAACTTTTTTTAAAAGAAACTTATAACCTTTATATTACACACAATGTTGGGACTTGTGGTGCTTAAAATAAGATCAAATTTCAAGTCGATCGATAAAAGACTTTAAAAGTTATTTAATTTGTTTATCCCAAATTAATTTTTTTTGCAACAATATAAGGCAGAAAATTAAATAGGTATATTAATTATGCGGATGATTCTAAAAGAAAAAGAATTATTCTATTAATATTATTTAAAAAAATGAGGAAAAAGAATTTTAAATATTTCAAAATAATTTGGCAAAAACATGTCCATTTTTTGCTTATAAACAATTAGAATAACTTTTTAACCATTGAATGCAAAAAACTGATTTTTTCATATTTTGACAGCCTGAATATTTTTACAAATTAAAACGGAAAAAAAGTTGATCTTGGACACTTTGGGACGAAGTTAGTGTCTTTTTATAAATTGATAGCAGCTTTGTTTATAACAATTAAGAAATCTAATTAGGGTCAGCTGAAAGAACATACTTTAGGGTTTTAACGTGAAAAATTGGAAAAATATTGCATTTTATAGATTATCTTCTTTAGGTACAACATACATGGAAACAATGAGGGTCCAGATACATGCAAACGTTTGCATTAGACGTGTATATTTCACCGACACCCTTTACACAGATGACGAGTTACCAGCTGAATTTAAGTTGTTTGGCCCCATACAAAAGAAGAAAGAAGAAAAGAAACCGTCTAAAGAACAACGTAAGTTTACTAAAATACTTTTTAAATACATACCCTTAATCGAAATCTTAATTGGATTTAATCTAAAGTATATTTGTTATTTGGGATTTACTGAGTACAAGTTTTCGGTGGGTAAAATCATTCTTTTGAAGGTAAAAATTATTTTACTACCAGAGACTTAACAACACTTGGATAAATTTCTTACAGAAATGCGTATATAAAATTATCTGTCACTATTATGTCACTTGTTATGGCTAGTTAAGAAGTCCACGTATGTTTATTACCTTTCTCCAAATTTCTCTATTATAAGTATAACCGTTCAAAAGATACTTTTGGACTGCTATACTTATAATAAGGGGGGAACGAACTTTTGACTAGCACATTTATTAATTTACAGATAGAAACATTTTAATGAAAATTAATAAGGTATGTGCAGGTAATATGGCCACCTTAAGAACTTTTGTCCGTATTTGTGGCCAAATATATATTTTTTAGGGTTATCTAAATATATATTTATTGTATAATTTTTCAAAAATTGATAAAAATATGATATTTATTACTTATTTAAAAAAAAATACTGCTATTGGCCATATTACCAACATGGTGTCGCTAATATGGCCACTATACAGAAAGTAAATTTTTATATCTAATTATGAAGCTTAACACAAAATAGAATAAAATATGTAGTTTCAGATTTTTTAACAGTTTTATTACATATTAAGCAAATACAGCACAGAAACTTAATATTGTCTTATTTTTCACAATCAGGGCATAAGAACGTATCAATTTTGTCTTTAGCTGTGAGACCCATGCACTTTTCGTGGATAGAAGTGCTACATACGCTACACAGTCTCATATCTACTTGTACTCTAAGATTGTTGTTTTTTTGTTCCCTTTTTCTTAGCAAGCAAGGTCTTAAATTTGTTTTTTGGATTGGGTAATTTTCGTAGCATTGACGAGACTCTTTTACCATCTGTAGTATGCATATTGGCTTCAATATTTTCTGAATCACTTTTTCCAATACATTTACCGAATAAATCTTTAGTAACAACTTGGGCTCGACTGTTGATAGCTGGTTTTCTAGGCTTTTTGTTATCGTTCTTTATTGCTGCATTTTCAGGTGTTTCGAGCATAATTGTGAATGAAGTATTTTGGATGTTTGAGAAATCACTGTGATCGTCTTCTGAATCAATAACTTCATCACTGCTAGAATCATGCAAACTAAAGGATAAGTCAGAGTTGCTACTATCAGTGTCTAGAAATGGTTTTTCCGGGCGATTCTTCGGTTGAAAATCCGAAGTAGAGGGACGACAAGAGTTACTACTATCAGTGATCAGACATACTTCTTTTGAGCTATTTTTAGGTTGTAATCCCAAAGTAGAATGACAACGGTAATATTTTTGTTAAATGCCTGAAGTTGATGGCATGGATAAATCATCTGCTTTATTACAAGCGTTAGTTTCTGATAATGTGACATTCTCTTTATCTTCCTGATGTTGGTATGTGATAGTACTAGGGGCAAACGCTATCTCTCCCGTTGAAGAAAACCCCGATTTTATATTAGATGGTGTCATTGTTTTGTCCCAAACTGTAGAAAAAATTGCCCCAAATCTCTGTTTGGTAATAACACGATCGCTATGAATAGAATAATATTTCATAACTTCATCATCCCAGTAATATTCAAAGGCTCTAAATACAGCTATTTCCATTTGTTGGAACTCGTGAGTAGTATTACTAGGTAAACAGTATAGAGTAATTTCGTATCTTTCGGCAGTTTCTACAATCGTGTGACCCAAATGGCATCTTGCACCATCAAATATGATAATACATGGACCAGCAACCTTAAATTTTGAAAAGTGTTGAAGCCAAACTGAAAACGTTTCAATATTCATGCTACCTTTTGCAGTCATTTGAACAACAGCACCTGGAGGTAGTGAGTCAACCTATTCTGGCTTACTACGTTTACCCTTAAAAAGTACCATTGGAGGAATTGCTGTACCGAGAGCATTACCACAAGAAACAATGGTAACACTTTCTCCATGTTCGTTTACAACAACATGTACTCTTCTACCCCCTTTTTGCGCCAAAACTTTCTGCTGGTGGTGAAGTGTTAACCTGCAACTTTTCTCGTCTACATTATATATCCGTTCGGGCTTATCAAGTATGTCCATTTCTCTTAAAATACATTCCAGCTTAGTAAAATGATCTTTTATAATAAATTTATTAAGCTTTTGTGCCCTAGCCGGATTTAAGTTTTGTGCTTTCCTAGGTCTGATTTAAGGATTGCGCTTCATAAAACCACGTAGCCAATAACGACCAGCTATTCCTTTGCTTTCTTGAAAAGGATTTGGGATATTATTGAGATCTGTAAACCGATATACACATTTACAAAGTACCCTTGCAATAAGTTGATATCCAATTTGCGAACGACGGATAATACGTTGAACTAATTCTGCTTCTTGAGCATTTGTAAGTATAGTCTTTCGCCCTATACAAGACTTTACTTGTTTTCCCTCTTCTAAATATCGTCGAAGTGTCCGCCTTGGGATGTGATATGTACGACTAGCTGTGTTAACTGCGGTCCCATTTTCCACCGCTCTTAAAGCTGCTGACAAATTTTCTTCCGCCCAGTTGCCTCGTAGGCCCCTACGCTGATACTGGGGCATTTTTTATTTCTGTAATAAAAGAAATAATATCAATACAGCAAACAAAATATGAATTGTAGAGTAATATGGCCACGTAAGATAAATATGGCCATGGCCATATAACCCTACTTTTCACCTGGCCATATTACTCAACACTGTATTTTGATATTTTGTCTAAGAAAAAATGTATTAAATCAAAATTTATACAATAAAATAAGAACATGTACATGATTTTGAAGGTATACGAAACATGTAAGTACAATTTATATATTAAAAACTTACCTATTAGATTCAGTTAAGATTTTTTTAAAAATTACGAAATTAATAACCAGCATCTGCAATCACGAGTTTTCACAACAATGGTGTATGGTTCTGATGTATAGAAAATGTGGTACCATCTGTTTAACAATTTCGGCACTAAATGTGTATTACTATGCTAATATCAAGAGTTCTACCGTTTAAACATAAAAATAGTAAGAAATTTCTTGGATGGCCATATTACTGTACATGGCCATATTACTGTACATGGCCATATTACCTACACCTACCTTAAATATAGTCCCATTTTTCATAATTATTTTTTTTAAGAAGTAAGTTTACTTCAGCTGTTAGTAAGAAGTAGTAGAATGTATGAATTCTTGTGTTGTATATTTGATATAACGATCTGAGTTAACCGGCTGTAACAATTTAAGAAAATTATAGATGTTTTAACCTCAAATATTTATTTTAACAGTTGATACAAACTAAATAATATAAATATGTTTTAGTCGTCAAACACGAAGAGGAAAAAGCTGCAGAAGAAATACCGCCTCCGCCTTCTCCTGTAGACGTAACGGGTACTGAGGAACATATAGAAGAAGCACCATCGGAAGCAGCACACGAAGAAAAAGTGGCTGTACCAGAAGAAGAAGATACTGAAAAAGTGAGAGTGTCACATGAAGAAATTGAAACACCAGCGGAAGCTCATTTAGAGGACGAAGTACCTCCAGAAGGTAAGCATTACCAAATATTCAGTTTTTATTCTTAATTTTATAGTTAGCACTTTATAATCGGCGAGGAATTGCATTATAAAATCTCTCCCTTCACTAAAGTGAGCTATTAAAAGAATAAGAACCATATTAAAAGCAAAACTTTAATTATTCTCTGAACAGTGGCATCCACTAGCGAAATAATTCACATTAACTTTAAAAATTAATATTACGTAATTTATTAAGAATAGTAGTTAAATATTTTACTTAATTTATGCTTATGTAACCAATTTAGAAAAGAAAAAATCAGAAGATATTACAGCAGAAGAAACTACACACGAAGGTACAGAAGACGAACTTGAATTTCACGAACTATCTGAATCTGAAGCACCACCAGAGGGAGGCGAGGAAGTACCAACCGTCGATGTGGAGGGTACAGAAGTTACTGCAGAAGTTGCGGAAACCGCAGAAAAGCCTGAGGATGAGGGCGCTGTTCCTACTGCCGAAGGTGAAGCACCTCCTCCACCGGTTGAAGGTGAAGAAACTCGTACCGATGTTACAGAAGCTCAGACTGAAGTCGTGGAAAGTCATGTCGAAACCGAAGTAGTCACTACTGAAGGTAACTGTTTTGATTAATAATTCAAATAGATTATAAAGAGGATGAGTATTGAAATGATTTTTTATATAAAGAGCTAGTTGCAAAGGACAGTTTGAATTACACAGTCTAGAGGCATAATTGTACTAGTATATCCTCGCTTTAATTTCATTTTCCTAGGCTAATTTTGCTCACTGGGTTTTCAGATCTTTCTTTGCGTACTTTGACGTTAAAATTACCTATGATTATTCTGACTGTTTTTACTTATAGAAGACTTTATTTCTTCTTCTTCTTCTTCTGCTTTTTCTTTTTATATAGACATGACTCTGTTTGTTTTTCAATATGCCTACAGTAAGTTGTCTTTCCAACGTTTTCGTGGTCTTACTACTAATAGTCTTCCTATTGGGGGGGGGACCGTCTCTTGCCGTCTTTACTACTTCATTTGTTGTCATTTGACTTATATATATATAAGGTTCTTGAACTCCTAAGTGGAGCATAGAGCTTCAGTGAAAACGCGCCATCGGGTTCTATTTTGCGCTAAGGCCTTCACCTTATTCCAAGACTTTCCTTGGCCTCTTATCTCGTCCATGATGGATCTTCTCCAAGTTTGTACTGGGCGACCTCTTTTTCTTTTCCCTTGGGGATTCCACTCTAGGGCGGTCTTTGCGATACTGGAACTATTTTTTCGGAGTGTGTGACCGATCCAACCCAACTTTCTGGACTTAATTTCATTTTGTACCCTCTTTTGTTCGGTGAGGTGTAGAAGATCTTCGTTTCTGATGGTGTTAGGCCAGAATATACGAACAATTCTTCGTAGACATTTGTTAACAAAGACTTGCAGTTTGTCTGTGAGGGTATTTCTCACTTTCCAGGTTTCACATCCGTAGAGTAGAACAGACATGACATTTGATCGGAATATTTGGATCTTTGTCCTTGTAGTATACTCGCCAGATTTCCAAACAGGATTGAGCGTGCTGAAAGGTTGTTGGGCTTTTTGTAAACTCATACGAATATCGTGTTCTGTACCTCCGTTTTCTGTTATGACACTTCCAAGGTACGTAAAGTTTTCCACATTTTTAATCTGCATATTGTCGATAATAAATAGCGTGTTGTTCCTTGCATTTATTCTCATGGACTTGGTTTTACTAATATCGATTTTCAAATCTATTTTATTGGCTTCAGTGGAAAGTGTTTCCAATTGGTAAGTCAGATCTTGGAACCTTTGACCTAATAGGCAGATATCGTCTGCGTATTCTGGATCGCTTAGGCGTGCGGTTATCGTCCATTGTATCCCTCTTGTGTCGGAGTCTAGTTTGGAGAGAACATAGTCTATAGCTATGTTAAAAAGAAACGGAGAAAGCACGCATCCCTGTCTAACTCCAGTAAGTACGTCGAATTCGTCACTGTTGATCCCATTATGTGTCACGCTGCATTTCGCATCAATAATAGAAATTATTTTTTGCGTGATGTTTCTTAGCTCTAAAATTTTCCATATAACAGCGTGAGACAAGCTATCAAAGGCACGTTCGAAATCAACAAAAAACATGTATAGGGGTGTGTTCCATTCAACCGATTGTTCCATTATTACCCTCACAGTATTAATGTGGTCTATGCAGGATTCTGGTCTAAAGCCTGCTTGATTAGCTCGAAACTCAACCTTGTTTGTTAAGCTTTTCTGTATGATGGTCGTGAAAATTTTATTTATGACAGTAAGCAAGGTTATTCCTCTTCAATTTTTGCACAGTGTGAGGTTGCCTTTTTTTGGAAGCTTGATAATGTTACCTTTTTTTCCAGCCCGCTGGAATGTGGTTTGTTTCCCACACCTCTCTGATTATGGGGAGCAAAAGTTCAGCAGTTAGATGCGGATCAGCTTTAAGTATTTCAGCAGCAATGTTATCGATTACCGGTGACTTGTTGTTTCTCAGAGATTTGATAGCTGTTATTATCTCCGTTTTGGAAAGGGGCCTCACAAGAAATATGCAAGTCTATATTCTGCGAGTTTTCGACAATTTCATCTGCGTTATCTCTGGGAATACCTAGCATCTCCTGAAAAAGCTCTTTCCATCTCTGTACTTGGTCATCTGTTGTAGTAAGTAATTCGTCTATCTTGGATCTTACAATGTTCGAAGAGTTGGACCCATTTTTTGTTAGTCGTCTAGTAATTTGGTAAAGATCCCTAGTTCTGTTATGTTGTGCAGCTGTTTCTGCTTGTTTTGCCAGTTCTTCGGCCCACCTTCTTTTGTCTCTTCTTGCTTTTCTTTTAACTGATTTATTTATTGTTTGATATTCCTGTTGTCAGTGTGCTCTTCTTTTTACAGTTCTTGCTTGCAGGATATCCTTTTTTCGTTGTTTTCTTTCCTCGATAAGGATCCATGTTTCATCTGATCATTTGGATTAAATGATCATTCTATTTTAATCTTCTATTTCTTGCTCAGTTCTTGATGTTCTCCACCTTGCATCTACTTCGTATATATGTACTTCTAGTATTTTCATCTCTGCTGTTTCTAACATTATTTTTGTCCTTTCTGTATCAGGTCTTGTTTCTGCCGCGTATGTCATTATTGCTCTGATGACGGTTTTGTAAATTCTGTTTGCTCTATTCACTTTATCTTCCACTTCGGTTTCGAGCTTTTCGTAGCTAGATAATGTAATGCCTAGATATTTAAACTCCATCACTTGTTCTATTATCTGACCTTCCAGCTCCGATTTACATCTTTGTAAATTTGCTGTTGTAACCATGCATTTTGTCTTTTTTGGGGAAATTAACATGTTAAATTTTCTGGTGGTTATATTAAATTGATGCAGGATACATCATCTTCACTTTGAGAGAGTAGTATTGGCTGCATAACAGATTATTTTAAGTTGTTTTTCTCCCATTTGGTATCCTTTTTTAGTTCTTACTTTTTTTTATTATTTCATCCATAATCAGGTTGACCAAAAGAGGACTTAATGAATCTCCCTGCCAATGAAACTGGCAATGGGAATATTTCTTAGATTTGTATTTTATCTGTTAGCAGAGTGGCATTTTGCTGCCGTATGGCTAAGCATAAACTACATAATAGGTATCATCATCATCATCATTTTGGCTTTACAACCCTGTGTGGGTCCTAGCCTCCCCAAGAATTTTTTTCCAGTCGTCCCTATCCATCGCCTTCCTCCGCCAAGCACGTATTTCCATATTTCTCATATCTTGATCTATGTTATCTAGGAATCTTGTTCTGGGTCTTCCTCTTCTTCTTTGACCAATAGGTCTATCAAGGAGCGTTTTTCTAGCTGGGTCTGTTTGCTCCATCCGCATTACACGGCCTACCTACCTCAGACGTCCTATCTTAATGTGTTTTACGATATCTGCTTCCTGGTATATTCTATAGAGTTCAAAGTTGTATCGTCTTCTCCAGACACCATTTTCATTTACCGCTCCATAGATGCGTCTTAGTATTTTTCTTTCGAAATATCCTAACATGTTTTCATTGCTTTTTGTTCAGACTACCACCAGAAGTCCAGATTTCTGAACCATATATTAGGACTTGTCGTATTATTGTTTTGTAGAGTTTTACTTTTGTATTTTTTGATATAACTGTAGACCACATAATAGGTAGATAAACAAAATATGCCCTTCTGTATTGCTTTGTTAAAGGGTCAATATCCTTATTAAAAATATGTACCTCATCATTTCAGGAGGAGAAACTGTTACCGAAGTGATGACAGAAGTCACTACAGAAATGGGCGATACCACTGACGAACCTGCTACAACCGATGAACCTCCTTCTGACGTAGAAAATCTAGACTAGATATTGTTAAAGTTGTTTAAGAAATATTTGTGTCCAATGGAATAAAAGTTTATTAAAATTAAAATATTTTTTTCACTCTTTAAATAATAGTCCAAAGAAAATATCACTAAATAAAAAAATATATATTTACACTGCTTAAAGAAAATATGGCAACAGTTTTTAATGCAAAAATGAAAAGACAGTTAAGATTGGATTTCACGTAGGTAAAGTGCGTCTATGTATCTTCTTCTTCTTCTTTTTGTGCCACTCCTATCGGAGATTGGAAATCATCAAGGGTATTCTGACCTTGTTTACGGCTGACCTAAAGAATTCATTAGTGGTGCAGCCAAACCACTCTCTCAAATTCCGCAACCATGACATTCTTCTACGGCCTGGATTCCGTTTTCCTTCTATTTTTTCCTGCATTATATTTTGAAGTAATGCGTATTTATGTCCTCTCATCAGGTAACCAAAATATTCGAGTTTTCTTCGCTTTAGCGTTAACAAAATCTCTGGGTCTTTTCCTATTCTTCGTATTACTTCACAGTTTGTTATTCTTTCAACCCAACTAATCTTCAGCATTCGACGGTAGCACCATCTCGAAACTTTCAATATTTTTCATGTTGTTATATATGTTACATAATAAATATGTAAACCTAGAATAACCATAATAAAAAGTAAGGAAGCCAAAATTATCAAGGAGCCGGATCAAATAGTGGAGAGATGGGCAGAGAATTTTGTTAAGAAATTAAATACAGGCAACCGAGAAGTGCCTGACATAAATGACCACAGTGGAGACGTAGACGATGAGAGGGAGAAAAATAATATACCAACAGAAGTTGCCAATGCAATAAAAAGGTTAAAAAACAACAAATCCCATGGAGAAGATGATATACCCCCTGAGCTGTTCAAGTATGGAGCAAACACGCTAAAAAAAATACATAAAAACCTTGTTGCATCCATTTGGAGAGAAGCAAAACTCCCAGACAGTTGGAATGTAGGTATTATAATACCTATTCACAAGAAAGGAGATCCACTAATATGTGACAACTATCGAGGCATTACCCTCTTAAATACGGCTTACAAAGTACTGCCTAATATTCTTTATGATCGTTTAATAGTATATACTGATGAAGAAATTGGTAAATATCAATGTGGATTCCGAAAAGAAAGGTCAACAATTGATCAGATTTTCCTTCTCAGACAAACCTTAGAAATGACATATGAATATGGAATTGATACCCACAACCCCTTCATAGATTTTAAAAGCGCTTATGACAGTGTAGACAGAAGCGTACTTTATAATGCCATGGCAGAACTAGATATTCCATCTCATCTAATAACATTGGTAAAGGCAACTCTTTCGAAAGTTCAGTGCAAAATCAAGGTACAAAACAGAGTGTCAGGTCTCTTCCAACACATACTGGATTACGCCAGGAAGACAGTATATTCTGCCCATTGTTTAACATCGTGTAGAAAGAGCCATGGAGAAATCGGGCATAACAACCAGAGGTACGATTATAAATAGAAGTGTACAGATATTGGCCTACGGAGATGATGTTGACATAGTAACACGGACAAAAGAGATCTGATACAGGCTTTTGAAACAAATTGTCAAATGTCACTCCCATACGCAAACCGTAAAAAGATGGGAAGAAGGGAAAGGATGTAAACTTGCCAGGGTAACACTAAGTAACCTTGAACAGTCAAAATCAAAGAAGTACTTGGGAATGACCAGGAAAAATCTACGTTTGGCAGTTGGTTTTTTTAACTGGTCATTGTCAACTAAGCAAACACCTCCACACACTGGGGCTAGTAGACATACCTCTATGTAGGAAGTGTGAACGAGAAGACGAAACTGTAGAGCATGTCCTATGTGAATGCCCAGAGTTATCGTTAATACGAGAGTACGCGTTCGGCGAGTCCTGGCCTACACCTGCCCACATAAGTGAGATGTCTCCTGGTGACTTGTCCACCTTCCTAGAAATGGCAGGATGGACAATGAGCTAAGGGTGACAGCTCCCTGTGAGGATGCACAATGGGTCAATTGTGGCCTAAGTGCTGTGAAACTTAACTCGCCCTCCCTACTCTACAGATACAGAACATTAGCAAAAGCCGCGAAGACAATGGGACTGCAGGTCAACGTATCCAAAACAAAATACATGAAGGTCACGGACAGCACACAAATAGCGGCACCACAAGATCTGGTGACAGAAGCAAACACATTCGAAGGGGTCTCGGAGTTTATATATCTTGAAACACAACTGAATAACAGCAACCTAGTAAGCGTAGAAATAAAGAGAAGAATATACCTGACGAACAGAGCTTACTTTGGACTAAAGCAGTTCTTAACATCACACATAATTAGCAGAAAACCAAGATACTAATATATGAAACTCTTATTAAACCTGTCCTGACATACGCGTCAGAGACATGGACTATGGTAAAAAGCGACGAAGAACTGTTAGGCCGCTTTGAAAGAAGAATACTTAGGCACATATAGCGGCCAATAGACTAAGGTGGCTAGGACACCTTGAAAGAATGGACACTAGAGACCCCCAAAGACAGATATTATATCACGAACCAGTAGGAACCAGGAAGAGAGCAGGCCAAGATCTAGATTTAAAACTCAAGTCGAAGATGAGTTGAGGAATCTAGGGGTCAGAAATTGGAAAGCCAGGGCGAAAGATAGGGGGGAATGGAGACTAATTCTTGAACAGGCCAAAACCCACCCAGGGTTGTAGAGCCAAAGATGATGATGATTAACAAATAAATGCACCAAAAAATTTTTACTACAGTTCACTTTAAAAAGTTTTTTAATAAAGTAACTTATTCCTTCTTCAGTTTTTTTGATAAAATATACCTAATGGTTTTAGGTCAAAGTGGCAACAGATATATGTTCTCAAAAAACTTGATAAAGTAAAGTCGTTTTACCCTGTCTTATTTCGGATTAACGCCCGAAAAACAACGTATAACTCTAATTACAGATACTCTGTTATACTTTCCCTTTTCTACGTGCTTTGTGGTACCGAACCTCTTACTGCTCGGCTGTATTACTTGAGGATAAATCAACGATACCAAAACAATTTTTTATAAATCGTGAAAAAACGCAAATTGAATACTTTGTGATGATAATTTATTGAAAAAACTTTTATAATTTTAATTCAAATAAAATTGCCTTGATGAGTGCATCCATTCCTTGCGATCGCATAACTGGATAATTTTAGTTGTTATATTTGCAAAAATAGTAAACAGTCTGCGGAGTCGAGGCTCTCCATTGACCGGACTCATCGGCCAGTGACCGCGCCCTGCCACCGAGGCCCCGCCCCCTCATGTATATATTCAGAGAGCTCCTAAAAATTTTGCTAGTATTCAACGGACCTTGCAAAGAGTTCGCAACATGAGTGAGAAGGAATTAAGTAAGGAAAATAAAAGGATTCGTTCCGGATCCCCTCCAAAATCCGAAAACCCTCGACTTGCCACAAGGTATTAAAATCTCAATCAGAAATATCATTTATGACATGTACAAAGCAAAAGAACATGTTACAAGAAAGACACTTATTCAAAAAATAAAGGACAGAGAACTTCGTGATATGGGTTTGACCAGTTTATCAAAAGTATTAAAAGCTATGGGTTTTAGATACAAAAAAAACAATAATCGTAAAGTGTTGTGCGAGCTGTCCAATGTTGTTGGAAAAAGGTGGAAATTTATAAGAAACTATTTAAAAAACAAGAATTCCAAATTTGCCAGACAATTTGTGTTTCTTAACGAAACATGGATTTCTGCGAAAGAAAATAATACCAAATCATCCTGGAAAGATGATTCTACCAAATGCTATTCGAGTACTAGTGCGAATAATGGCAAAAGATATATTATATTGCATGCAGGAAATACGGAAGGTTTTATACCCAATGCTAGTCTTATATTTTCTTCGACAAAAAAAAACTGATGATTACCACGGAAATATGGACGCCGATATTTTTGAACATTGGTTTGAGGAAAAATTATTAAAAAATCTGGAACATCCGTCATTAATAGTCTTAGACAATGCTTCGAATCACACCAGAGAGGAGGAAAAGTTTCCCACAAGCAGCTGGAAAAAGAAGACTTAAGAAAGTGGCTGTCGGAGAAAAATATAGAACACGAACATCAAGTTTTAAAAGCTGAATTATTAAATAAGTTAAAAGAACACATTACTGAGAAAAAATTTGTCGTTGACCAAATGGCACTAAAATATGGTCATAGGTCCTAAGACTTCCACCATATTACTGCCAGTACAATCCAATTGAATTGGTGTGGGGCATCACTAAAAACTACTATGATAAACATGCATGTAAGACCACCGACGAAGCCAGCGTTTTACAACTCTGGCAAGATGCACTAAAACAAGTCAATGAGGAACAATGGCGGAAATGTATTGAGCATACTGAAAAAAAATTTTAGTCATATGAAATAGAACAAGTTATTGATGAAGTAAGACCTTTAATTATTCGTACAGATGAAGATTCAGATGAATCAGATAGTGATGATACCTGCCCATAGATTAAGACGTAGATAGAAAAATTAACACAAAAGGGTACTAACCATAAAAAAAAAATAAAACAAAAACCGCATGCAGGAGAGAGCCGGAGGCACGCCGCACGACGCTCTTGAATGCAAGCACCAAAAAAATTAGATTAGCAAGTAAGGTAGATTAAGGGCATGACTGGACGAATGACTGGGTATTAGACGACGGATGAAAGGATTCGATGCTTGCTCGCTCTCGACTGCACTTGGTGCAGAAAAGAGAAAGCAAGTATCGGCACACACAACCATCATCAGATCGCCGAACAATTGCTTTGACCGGTAGTGATAAAGCCAAATGGGCTAACCTACCACTTAAATGTAAATACACGGAAATCTCCCATTGCCTGACGGGGGATACCGCGAAATAGTCGAGACCTGGCTCCAAAGACCAGGGGGCGGAGGAAAGCCGGGGCTGGTTGTACCGCAGAAGGACAACCTATCTCGGTGGGTTTGGGAAGGTGTGTGTGGGAAGTAGGAATAAGTCTTTGTTTTATATAGATATATATTTTTATAGATATATTTATAAAATATATAAAAATAAAAATATAATACAAAATTTTGAACACCCAGTATTAACATTGGCAAATTTTTTTATGTTTAATGAAAATAGAGTTTAGTGCACGCTGAAAAAGAATTTTTGTTTTTTCAGCATAAATATTAACCACGATATTAATTTTTGAAGTTGCATGTGTAATATGAAAAATTTTTCAAAAACTTTAGATATCTCAAAAACGGCTATTTTTTCGAGAATAAAAAATATATCCCAATAAAAATCGATCCAGAATTTTACGTAGATTCTAAAAAAAAATAACAAAAAGCACAATTTCTATTTAAAATAAGAAACTTAATGGCGACTTCCGGTACAACCGGAAGTGCTAGAAGAATGCAAATATTTAAAAAATGAAGAATGCTTTGCATAACCCATTATTCCAAGTTTGCAGAAACCAGTGATGACCAGAACTTTGAAAACTTTTAACCAACATGTTGCGTGAATGACCCTGTATATTTCATACTCAATGTTTATCAAATTACATTATGATATTCAATTATTATAAAACATAATACACAGTTATTTTATTAATTTAATATTTATTATCAAATTAAGAAAACCGTACATTTTTTATCTGAGAACCGCTAACTACCTGAGGCAAATCTGAACAGACACTTTTATTAATTATGCGACAGGCTAAAACGATCCTACTTTAGTGTGAAAATTTTTTTATTAAAATCAACTGAGTACTTTCGGCATATAATATGCCACCTTCAGGAACAATATTTTAAGAAAAATTATCACAGATTTTACAGATTAAATTGAAAATGCCTAAGTTGTCAAACTGGTAAAGCTTTTTGAGAACATACATCTGTTGCCAGTTTAGTCTGTATTTTAGAAGTGTGTACCTGTCATACAGTCTTTTTCCGATTTATTACCTTATGGTTTTACTTTACAGACAAAAATTCTAGAAATCAGCCATTTGTCAATTAAATTGTTAATAAATAAAAGAAAATTTAGATGAATTTGCATAATTTTTGTTATTATATCCATAAAATAACAAAGATGCTCACACATAGGCATTGGTGAAAATTTTAGCAAGGTGGGTAACATAGGATTATTCAAAAGCGGTATTTAAAAATTATATTGGAGGATTCGTTGATGTGTCATAATAGAAACTCAAAAGGGATGATAAATTACTATAATAATTACTCTAATCCTAATTTCTTTGGAATCAGATACAAAAACTTCTGATTTCATAATTTTCCTCCACATAACTTTTAGTCTGAATCATAATCCATAATCAGTATTCCTGTATCTATTACAGTTTTGGCCGCACTAATCCTGGACGGACACAAAACTAAAGGATCGATTGTTTTAAGTTTTATTTCGATCCAAGGTCTGTGAATATAGAATGTATTTCTAAAATAAGTGATACTTCATCAAATAAATCGTGAGGCCGAGGAGTCACAGTTGAAAAGAAATCCAATACTTTAATTTCGTTACAAGTTATAAATTTTTCTAACACATTTTTCAAAGATTCTAAATCAAATAGAATGTGATTTGAACCGATTTCATTCCCGTGAAATAAAGTCTTTGGACAGAGTCCCTGAAGCATTTCCATTCGTTTTGTAGCAATATACATCAAAAACTTATAGAATACTTCCAAGTTCATTCCAAAATGAGCATTCAGCATCAGCTGACAATGTTCCTCAAAATCATCCACTCCTTTACAATCTTTAATCTCTTCCTTCACTTCACTTAATGCTCTAAGTAAGGAGTCATACATCATGCTAATATTACAACCATTCACCCAATTGTGGTTCACAGAAATAGCATAAGTTACGTTATGAACTTGGTGATACCATCCAGATGGTATAAAAATAGCTTCACCTGGATTTTGAATCACTTCTATGCATTTTTTACTCTTGGTACTTGCTTGACTACTTCTAAATGAAACACTTTCTTTTGCTTCTACATCATATGGAAGATCTCCAAAAGAGTTTCTTAATATTTCTTCACTTCCAGGAGGAAAAATTATCCATCTTTTTTTACCAAAAATATTTGCTGACCAACTGTATGAAGAGAATACATCAACATGGAATGGTGTCCTAAAACAAAAAGTTAGTTTAGAATAGATCTATTATTTATTATATATAATATATATTATATATAATATTATATATATAATATTGTATACAGATTCCAGTTCTTATTGAAATTTTATAATAAAACACAATACTTTTGCTACTAAGGATGGTAAAGCAACTAAAGCATTTAAAAATATACAAAACTTAAATAATCAGACACAAATTAGTGCCAAAAGAAATAGAAAAAAATTAGAGGATCATTAACATATTATAATGTACATTATTAGTCCAACTTGAATCTAGAATTCACAGACCAGAATGTATAATATAAGTATTCTATAATGATTTAAAGAACACCTCAAGAGAACTTTCCAAGAATATGTAACCACAATACAAGTCTATAATACGAACATTGCCATCCCACCATCTGTCTTTATTGAATTGAGGTCCAACAGTAACTTTGTTGAACATCTAGTTTGTCTGATGATGTGTCCTATCCATTACAAGTATTATTATTTAATAACCCTCACTATATTTTTATTTCCTAATTTTTTTTCCATGTCTTTGTTTCTTTTTAATTTTCTTTCTTGCCCAATGATTATTTCCATTATTTTCCTTTCAAGTCTTAAGTGTTCTTCTTTTCAGTGTTTTGTATATCTTTATTTTTGTCTTTTTGCTTAATTTTCTCATTTTAAGGACTTTTCTATTTCTTCCAAAGGCTTGGTTTGTCTTTACAATTATTTCTTTTACAATTATTCTAATCCAATGGTCACTCTTAGATAGCTGAATGTTGTTACTTTTTCAACTTTAAAGTTGTAGATCTTCAGGCCCCTCTTTGTTTTTTAGTTTTTTGCTTACTTCCATATATTTTATTTTCTTTTCATTTATTGTAATCCATATTTCTTGACTTCAGCCTCTAGCTCTTCAATTGCCTTGGTGGCATTTGTTTTAAACATCTGTGTTAAACATCTCTGTTTTTTGGTGTTTGGTAAGTTTTATATTTGATACTACTACTTTGTGATGTTCTTCTTCGATCAATTAAGCATTTATATGTCCACAATTACTATTTCATCTTTTTCTTTTGAATTGTTGGATACTTCCCATAAAATTCTTATTTCTCTTTCATTTATTGGGTTAAAATTCATTATCTTTTATCTCATACTTCCAAAGACATAGAAGCCTAGTCCTCTTAAACCCCACCATTTTGTCCCACTATACAAAAATATCTACTTTACTCTTCCTCTTGGCTTTTATGGCTTCCTTTTCATAGAACTGCTTCTTAATTTTATAAATGATCAAGTTCAAAAATCTTATGGTATACTTAATAATCTCAGAATGCCAATTAAAATGCAAACAGCATGTGAATGTATAAAATACCACACAACTATTGAGAAAAAAGCATTAGCGTGGATCTATCTAGTTTTGGTTACTTAAGTTAAAAGATTTTGGTTTAATTGCTTAATAAACACTGCAAGAAGTATAAGATGATAAAAATAAAATGTTTTCTAGTCTTTATATACTTTACCATGTTCCATTTGGACCCATATAAACAAATCGATAATCATCATCTAAACAATTAACATAATACTCATTCAACCAATCTGAGGCGAAGTAAATAGGGACTTCATAAAATCTCTCTTCAGGATGATTAAGTTGTAAGTGCCAATTTTTTACATATTCGTAAGAGGTATTTATTAACACATTTGGCTTGTCTTTAAGGTTATTTAGATAATCTCTAAAACAACAGCTGTAACTTTTCTGGGTATTATAAAACCTTTCCTGGCAATTATAAACTTGCACCATGTCCATTCCATAATGTTCCTCAAAATATTCAAAATTTAGGGCATTATTTTCGGTTATCCAACATTTTAAACATTGCCAATTCCTGGTGATACCTTTAATTATACAAGGTAAATTAAGTAACATAAAGTCATTAAAAAATGATCCGTAAGATAAATCGGAAGCTTCTATTACTGGAATAGAGTCTATTGAAGCATAATCATAGGCTACTTCTTTTGTAAATACTGTATCATCCACTTCAAACAACATCCTCGTATTTGATATTTCATAATTCAAATTTGATTTTAGGTTATATTTTTAAATTTTCTTCTACTTATTCTTCTATCCTCCTTAAGGGACATTCTATTGTCAGCTCGTCTCTGAACTTATAAAGTTAGCAAGAGAAATTTATTTCTAAAATTCTCATAAATAAAGCAGCATTTTTGAATCCAAAAAACAAAGAATTTTTAAACTAACATTAAAATTTTCGTTAAAACACCTTCAAAACAAGGATAGTCCCAAAACATACAGACTTTAAATTTCACGTCGTGTCATATATTTGTCATTACTGTCACTGTGTCACTGTCAACTAGTTGTCAGCGTTACACAGCGAATATTTTCCTGGTCAGTTCAATATTAATAATTGTTTTGTTGAAATCAGAAATTACGTTATAAAATGGTAACTCTCGAAGACGTTGAAATGAAAAATGCAGACAGTCCTCCAGGATTAGAAGCTGGTGATACAAAGAAAGATACTGATCTACAAAGTGTAATAGAAATTCGTGAACATGCAAGACAAATAGAGAAATCAGTGACAAGTAAAGAAAATCGTTTCATCCTAAGAGTTTTACGATGCCTGCCCAACACTCGAAGAAAACTAAATGGATTGGTGTTGAGGAGCCTGATCACTCAAATATATCCGGTAGCTGAACGTGATGCCCTTCTTAGTTTCACCGAGGAAGCTTCTGGAGAGCTCGACACTACCCAGTCAAGAGCTAGATCAGCTATTAAATCACCCGTTCCCGAGGTAGATACGTATATAAATCTCTTAATCCTTGTGCGTTTAATTGATACCAATAAGCTAGTTGAAGCAGAGCGATGTTCCCAAGCCCTCATGAATAAAATAACTAATCAAAACAGACGTACTATAGATCATATTGCTGCCAAGTGTTATTTCTATCATTCAAGGGTTGCTGAATTAACCGATAAATTGGATTCAATAAGAGGATTTTTACATTCTCGTCTACGTACTGCTACACTCAGGAATGATTTTGAGGGCCAAGCTGTGCTTATAAATTGCCTGTTGAGAAATTATTTGCATTATTCTTTGTATGATCAAGCTGATAAACTAGTGAGTAAATGTGTATTTCCTGAAACTGCAAGCAATAATGAATGGGCAAGATTCTTGTATTACTTAGGCAGAATTAAGGCTGCACGATTAGAATACAGTGTAGCACATAAACATCTCGTGCAGGCCATGAGAAAAGCACCCCAGAATGCTGCTATTGGTTTCAGACAGACTGTTCAAAAGCTAACTGTTGTAGTTGAACTATTGTTAGGAGATATACCAGAAAGACAGGTGTTTAGACAATCTAGTATGAGGCACTCCCTTGCTCCATACTTTCAATTAACACAAGCAGTTAGAATGGGAAATTTGCAAAGATTTGGTGAGGTGTTAGAGAACTTTGGCCCACAATTTAGACAAGATCATACATTTACACTAATTTTGAGACTGCGCCACAATGTTATTAAAACAGCTATAAGATCTATAGGATTATCATACTCCAGAATATCTCCCCAAGACATAGCTAAGAAACTAGGGCTGGATTCAGCTGAAGATGCAGAATTTATAGTAGCAAAAGCAATCAGAGATGGGGTCATAGAAGCCACACTTGATCCGCAGGGAGGTTTTATGAGGAGCAAAGAAAGTACTGATATCTACTGCACAAAGGAACCTCAACTTGCGTTTCATCAGAGAATATCGTTTTGTTTAGATTTGCACAATCAAAGTGTCAAAGCTATGAGATATCCCCCCAAGGCTTATGGAAAAGAACTTGAATCAGCAGAAGAGAGAAGGGAAAGGGAACAGCAGGATCTGGAGTTGGCCAAGGAAATGGCTGAAGAAGATGATGATGGTTTCCCTTAAGTTGATGTAGTTATCAATATTAATTTTATAACATTTTTGCTTTTGTATGGTATTTATAGACAGTAGATTTATCAAAATATACTGAGTAAAACTCTTGCATTTTTATTTAAAAAAATTACACTCTCCTTTGTTTCAATCTTTTTTAGTATTTTCTTCCATTTCTCTTTTTCCGCAGTAAGTCCACTATCACTGCTTCCAACGATTTTCTCATTGTTTTTATTCTTAATTTTCCTGATAGGTTTTCCATATTTATTTATCTTGTCCTAATCCTATCTGTCTTTGATTTCTCCATAAGTCCAGTCAAAATTTTCTCCCATATTAAATATTGTTGACAGGAGGTCCCTTATTTAAGTCCTATATTAATTAAGAACTAACTGTCTTGACATTTACTGTTTCTCATGGTATTTTGCAGTGTAATGCACTAATCTCATAGCTTTACAGGTATGCCAAGTTCTTATATTACCTCAAATTGTTGTTTCATTTATTTTAGCATAGATAATTACTGTCAAGCTAAGTTCTTGTATTACCTCAAATTGTTGTTTTAATTTATTTTAGCATAGGTATGCTTATATAATTACTGTTTAAAGTTCTATCCCATTTTTGCAGTGTTTGCTACACATTCTGAATCAAGTTTGTGATTGACTTGGACCTCTTCCTTTAAGGAAATCTGCTTGAATACTTCTCTCACTTGGATTTTGTAATTTTTGGACAAATTTTGCCAATTTCTTCACCATGATAAACTGTGGTTCCCCTGGCTATTCACCTATTCTGTATGGACTCTGTAAGTGATTACTTATGTATTCAGAGTTTGTGAATAAAACAATAAACCCTAATTCAGTCTTGCTATCAAAAAGGTTACTATGTTTGCTTCCCAGAATAAACCTGTAGCATTTTCCAAATTCACTAGAAACTTTTGGGGTGAATATAAAAATTAAAAATATTTCTTTACAGACAGTTGCTCACTGGTCACATATTTTTTTTAAAAACCAGAAGTATTTTTTTTTGTTTCCTTAGAAGGAAACCTTTGCTCTCTGGTAAAATAATTCTTTCTTTTTTTAATCAAACAGTTCAACCTCCACTGGAGATCAGTCTTAACTGTGAAATAGCTTTATTTTGCAAAACATTCTTAAGGCTAATGAATGTGCTAAACCGTGTTGTGCTGGAACATGTATATCTTTCTCTACATTTTCACAAAGGATTGGTGTATTGACTTCCCTAACTAGTTCACTTTGTTTATTTTAATGGTAAGACATACTTTTCTTTTTTGCAAACAAAACAGTTTCTATTGTAGAAAGTTGTTGATCCTTTGACCCTTCTCTTTTATAACCAATTGTGAGTACTGGATCCACGCAGAAGACAGATGAGTTAGTTTTTGCAGGTACAGTGAAGATTTGTTTACTGTTTCATCTTTTATGTATATAGTTTAACCACCTATTAAGGATTTAAATTTACCTATTGGATTAAAATAAAAAACACGTTTTAGAAAATCTTTCGTTTTATTAATCTCAATTTAAGTTAACTTTTCAGTCAGACTGATTGTTTTATAAATATATCAATATTCATTAATCATAATGTAACTATAAGTCACTATATACAGTAAAATCATGAAAATTTACAGAACAATATATATAGAAAGACAAGTTGACATTTCAAAAGTATAACAATCACAAAAATAACAAAAAGTAAATAATGGTGAACAATAAATAATTACAATAATGTCAAAATTGACTTATATCTAAAAAATAATTTGGTATACCTGCGTTATCTTCCAGCCACTGCTCAATTACTCTTAAATTGCCTAGAAGGATAAACAGTTCTTTTGTGAAAAAAGGTAAGTAGGACACCAATATGGCACGCATTCATTCTTTATAAATAAAAACTATCATTAAATACGTGATGGATTCGACTGTTGTGATCATCATTTGAGAAGGGCACTCTGCCGAAACAGCTGTAGTGATAAGATTTTATAATAACTTTTGTGAAAGGTTCCAGTGTTTTATTGTCATATAAAACAACCATTATTTTTATACATACATACTTTGAGAAATACAGAGATACAGTTTCTATGATGAATTCGCTTAAAAGTCTGTCTGAAAGAGCAGGATTAAAAATAAACTTTGAGAAAACTAAGCTTATAACAAATCTCGTAATGAGTGGAAATATAACTATTGACAATAATACCATACAACAAACAGACACTTACACATATCTGGGGCACGAAATCAAAATAAACAGAGATAATCAAACACATGAAATACAGAGGCGAATAGGCCTAACATGAGCAGCATTTGGCAAATTAAGCCATATTCTAAAAAGTTAAATTCCATGTGTCTCAAGCGAAAGGTTTTTAACCAATGTGTTTTGCCAGTACAAACTTATGGAGCAGAGACTTTAACTCACGCAAAAATCTGTGAATAAACTCAAATCCGAATATCTTGCGTAGCACCTTTCTTTCAAAAATGGATAGAGCGGATTCATCTGTTTTCGTTAGCGTCCATGCCTCTGATCCATATGTGAGAACGGGGACTATCAGTGTTCCATACAGCCTTATACGAGTTTTTTGAGACAGACGTTTATTAGCTAAGTACTTTGATAAACCATGATAACACCTGTTTGCAATTATTATTCGCCTTTTTATTTCCTCAGATGTGTTATTATTGAGGTCAACCGATGTCCCTAGGTATATGAACTCTTTGACTGCTTCGAAGTTTTGGTCATTGATAATTAAATTTATGTCAACATTTCTAGCTTTTGTGTTAGTCGCCATGAATTTGGTTTTATTTTGATTTATATGTAACCCCATTTGTTCTGCTGCTGCTACTAGCTCGGTTAGGATTTCCACAGTTCTCGCCCTATTTCTTGTTATAATGTCCACGTCATCTGCATATGCTAGAATTTGGACTGATCTATTAAATATTTTTCCCCTGCTATCTAAATTAGCGTCTCGTACAACTTTTTATAAGGCGACCTTAAAAAGACCATTGTCACTTTTATCAAACATATGAGTTTTTTTGGAATTCCTAACTCATTCACAGCGTTGTAAAGACTTGGTCTTAAGACACTGTCATCTGCCGCTTTAAAATCGACAAAAATATAATACATATCTATGTTAAACTCTTGTGCTTTTTCGAGGATCTGTCGTAGTGTAAAGATCTGGTTAATTGTTGAACGTCCACGCCTGAATCTTGCCTGATATTTTCCTAAAAACATTTCAGTATAAGGCTTTAATCTCTCGTGCAAAATATTTGACAATATCTTGTATGCTGTATTTAGGAGAGTTATTCCGCGGTAATTATTGCATTCCAGTTGGTTTCCCTTTTTGTGTAACGGGCAAATTAAGCCTCAGCTCCATTCTTCAGGCATTCGCTCCTCAGATCAAATTCTACAAACAATTTCTCGCATCACCTTGGTGAGCTGCTCTCCACCGTGCTTAAATAACTCTGCTGGGATGCCATCGCTACCTGGGGACCTATGGTTCCTTAGTTTTTCTATTTATTTACGCAAGCACCTGAAAATTTTACAGAAGGGATCAAGATAAATGGTGAAAATATAAATTCCATTCGTTATGCTGACGATACAGTCATTATCGCTGAAAGTGGGACAGACCTGCAGACGTTACTATCGTCTTTTGTTAATCATTTATTTATTTCAAATAAGATATAAATTCGTTTCTATTCGACTGTTTGGTATGCAATTCACAACACCGCCGCATACATGAGTGAACATCTACAAATCAGCAGTTCCGATTGTATCGAAAAATAATAAGGATAAATTTACAAAATAATAACGATTTACTCAATATACAAAAAGCATCAATTAAACTAAAACTCAATTCTACCCCTTAGCTTCTCCACACCAAATTAAATTGGGTCTTTTTCTTCAAGATTTCATGTTGGAATGACACGTTCTTCATGTCTATGCCTTGTATAAACTGAGCGCTGCTGTGCAACCGCTTTCCCCCAGTGCGACAGACAAAACTGACGTAAAACAGTCCCTCTATCTCTTTCTAATGGGCCGGGTTTATCGACCACGTGACCTTCTCATTACTCATTGTTTGTTGAATGTACTAATATAAATAAAATAAATATACTGTCTATGTTGTTTATGTTATTTGACTGGTAGATTAGAATAAGCTACGACTGTTTTCCACATGACGACAAAATAACTAATGTAAGTACTGATTTTAGGATGTGACTGGATCTACCATATAACTACATAAAAATTTTAAAATCGAACTTCAAAATTTTTTAAACAGCTACAAATAAATCGTTTAGTATAAAATTTTAGTAAAAAACATGGCTTAAATAAAATCTGTACTTGTAACCTAGACCAAAAAAGCAGATTCATTTTGTTTGTTTCCTCGTCAGATCTCTTTAGATCAAGTATGAGTTTCATAGTGCGAGTCCTAAGTCTTAACTCTCACAAATATTTTCTAAACCATAAAACTTAAATTTATAATTTTTTTCATTGTTTTTATGACATTTCGGTGACAGAATCATCCACATTGGCGCATAGAGACTCTTTTGTAAGATAATTTTAAATGGGATCATATGGTAAGTAATAGACCGATCGAAATCTCAAAATGTCGACCGCTTAATTATAAAAATGATTTAAAATTAACTCTCACTGAAAGAGTTTTATTTGTTCTTTCAAACTTTTATTTCAAATAATGTCAGAAACTGGCTGCTATCCTCAACAGTGGTTACGCTCTACCTTTATTCCCCTGCCCAAGAAAGTCAATGCAAAAAGATGTGAGGATCACAGATTCATTAGCCTGATGAGTCACACTTTAAAGATATTCTTAAAAATACTACATAAAAGATTATACAAAAAATGTGAATGGGACATCAGTGATTCCCAGTTCGGGTTTAGGCAAGGTTTAGGAACACGAGAAGCAATAGTAGCAACACAGGTGCTGGTCCAAAATTGTTACGATCAGAGGAAGGATGTGTTCCTATGCTTTTTAGATTACCAAAAAGCGTTTGATCGTGTCCAACACCACAAGTTAATGCAGATTCTCAAGAAAGTTGATATAGACCAAAAAGACATAAGATGCATTGAAAACTTGTACTGGCATCAAACGGCACAGTTAAAAA